TGGGGAAACAAAGAAGTAACCGTTCAACCAAGTATATTGAAATACTGTCTGTCGAAGTCTGCCTTTTCTATCATAGAAACAGGCGGTCTTTAAATACACAAATCTGTTCATGTCTAGCATGAACGAAACTAATCAAAGGTATCAATCGATACACTTTGGTAAAACTCTTTAAGTATCAAAGCGATACTAAAACAAAACATAAAACAAAACCAAGTATCAGATGATACTTAAAACAAACCAAGTATCAAAGCGATACTTAAAACAAAACATAAAACAAAACCAAGTATCAGATGATACTTAAAACAAACCAAGTATCAAAGTGATACTTAAAACAAAACATAAAACAAAACCAATAACCGAGTACCCGTACTGGTTACAGTCATCTTCCTCAAGTAGTTCTACCTCTTGCTGGAGGGTAGGATGCATGGCATCATAGAATCGTCGCTTAAGGATGTAGTTAGATAAGCTTCCTTTCTTCATTCGGTCCTTATACATCATTAGACTTTTAGCTACGTCTGTGAATCTTTTGACATACATTCCATTGACTTGGTAGAGCTGGTTGAATTTGTTATATAGGAGGTCGTTTGGGATAGAGGATTGGAATCAGCCTTTCAGGTAATCAAGAACCGTAGATTCTCTTAATCTTACATTTCCGCCGTATTTCTTATAGCATTGGTGCTATGCGTCGGCTGCCTTTCCTTTGCAGAATGATCCAATGTATAGTCCAGTTGTAGGGTCTTCCACGTCTTTCCCTTGTAGGAGAAGGTAGTGTGTGATTTCAGTCGTCCATCAATCAAAAGCTTCAGGTTTGAGGTCTTTTCCTTCTCCTGTAAACTTTGCTGAGAGGTGGTGTTTGAACTTAGGAGGTTCAAATGCTCTGGAAATTTCCTCTTCTTTTGGCTGAGCTCCAGATTTTCCTCCTCCTGAGGGCCCTTCTCCTGTACTAGCCATATCTGATTCACTGCTGGATTCCGGGTCAATCGGAGGTTCAAAGAAAGGCTTCTTTGCTGGCGTAAAAGGGAATTCTCCTGGGAGTTGTGTGTCTTCCATGTTTGCAGGTTCTCCCAGCTCCTTTGTAGAGTGCTGGGTTTGTTTCTTTCTTGTAAGGTCTTGTTGTAGGATTTGCTTCCCACTCCTGGTCATCAATGACTCTATATTGGTTTTGAGACAAAGTCAAATGTGCTATGATTCTGCCACTTCTCTCAAGTAGCATTCTGAGATAGATGTCGATAAATTGATCAGGTCTAAATCCGGAGACAGGTTCTTAACCACTTGCTGAGGTTAAAAAAATATAACGTATTCGCAAGGTGCTAATTATGTTATCGGTAATAGATATGATAGTTGGCAGATAGCCTGCTCTTCCAGAGAGGAGGCGAGAGCTGAGAACTAAAGGAGGCTTCGAGGGTATACTGAGGAACAAAGAAGTAACCATTCAACCAAGTATATTGAAATACTGTCTGTTGAAGTCTTCCTTTTCCATCGTGAAATCAGGCGGTCTTTAAGTACACAAATCTGTTCTTGTCTAGCATGAACGAAAGAAATCAAAGGCATCAATCCATACACTTTGGTAAAACTAATTAAGTATCAAAGCAATACTTAAAACAAAACATAAAACAAAACCAAGTATCAAAGCAATACTTAAAACAAAACATAAAACAAAACCAAGTATCAAACAATACTTAAAACAAAACATAAAATAAAACCAATAACCAAGTACTGGTACCGGTTACAAGGATGATCTTCAAGATTGATCCTGTTGTTTGCAAACCACTCTCAAGTGTCCTTAGTCATATGAACATGGGCATTGTCCTGCTAGAATAAGGGTTCACCAACTTCTCGCTCAATGTCTTCCATCATAGGAGAAAGGTGTCTATTCAAGAGAGCAATGTAAACCCAACAGTCTACTTTGCTCTCTAAAATAGGCACTAAAGAGACCCAGAAACTGCCCCAAAAATATCACCACAGTATGAGGCCAACCTCATTGGCCTTCCCCCTTGGCTTGATGCAATTGGCAAGCCACTTCTCCGGTGTGTGAAAAACCCATTTCTGGGCTGGATTGGCGGACTTCCTTACAGTACACTCATTACTGTAGAGTTTACTCTAGAAGTCCTTGGCAGTCCAATTCTTCTGGGTGAGAGCCCACTCCAACCTCTTTTTAGTGTGGACTGCTATCAACTGAGGTTGGTTTTACGCAAGCCATTTTTTAATATTGGCTTTGCACAAAATCTAGTCAACTGTCCGGACAGAAACATGGGAGGCATGCTGATTCTGGAGTTCTAATTGTATCATGCCCCAATCCTTTTTGGCTGCATAGACTACTGATCAGCACTCCTGCTGGCTAAGGATGATTGGCCTGCCTGACCAGAGAGCATTTTCTATATGGCCTTAATCACATACTTGGGTAAAAGAGTTGTGAACAGTATACCAGAGGGTGTTGGTGAGAGTGGCGACCACAGATATCTTTTCAAAGATGTGGAAAAAGGCTATTATCATACCTTTTTCCACATCTGACATTTCTCTCCAAGCCATTTTTGGCTTGTAGCGCGAAACTGAGTTTTTCTTGGGAGGCATTTTGGTGTGTCATGTTCTCTGATATCTACATGCTACATTTTGATAACATTGCTGACTCAACATCACTAAGACTTTTGTCTAGTGGCTTTACTACTAAAAAATATAAGATTCTTTCAGTGTTCTATAACCACCCTCTTTGAAGCTTGAACTCTTGTTCGAGCTCGTGGAAGAAATTTATTATGTGAAATGGTATGCTTGGTTCACACCTACCATAGGAAGCGAGTGGTTGGGATACAATATATTTGTAACTCCAACCTTTTGGGCTGCCTTCATGTGGCATTTTGCAATTTGTAAAAAAAAAAAGGTTAAATATGCCTGCTAGCAAACGCTAGGCAGAACCGACACTATATGGTTTTTTATTATGAACTTTTATAGGCAAACGTCAGAATACGGGTGTATTCACTTGGATTTAGGAGCAAAAAGGAGACTGACAAAAGAGCGAGTAGATATTGATAATGTTATGATCTAATGAGTAAAGAAATACATACGTGTATGGGAACGATGAACGGAAAAGAGAGACAAAGTACATACATAATCTTTTATGGAGGAAGTCTGCGAAAAATCATAGAGATACGAAGTAGAAAAAGTAACGTTGTGAAACAGAAGAGATCCACCACACTTCTTGGGCTTCAAGATCTACTGGTATTAACCTAGTATACCGGCACATAACTGGTGTCTGCTACCAACCGCTCCATCTCTAACATCTAGTGTTTGTACTATCCGAATCTACCAGGTGTGCAATTTTCCCAAACACCAAAGGATGCTGATAAGGACGCAGAAACGCTAGGTCTAGCCGTAGTTGGTTTCAATAGTTGGGACGGGTAGTTGGTTAGACTACTCTAAGGCATCATCCGCAGCAAATTCCTTAATTAATCGCCTTGTGATGGAGTGCTAAATCGGTACACCTGAGGAACGACTTAGGACTAGCACAATTCCAGGAACTGGTGAGGTTGTGGCATGTATGGGAAATATTTTGGCACTTGCGCTGTTTCTCTTCACTGACCAGCGTTATGCAGGTTTGTCCTGAAGTCTTGAAATTGTCTCCTTGCTGGAATTGCCTCAACCATCCAAGACTAGTATTATCATCTGTGGATAGGGGTAGGAGTTTCCTGAGTTTTCTTCTTCTAGGAATCTTCTGAGGAACAATGCCACACTAGAAGGGGAGGAGGTAAGGCTGCGATGCCCCCCTGCAGGGATTTACTGTCAAGTGTCGGATATCCTTCGGCCCCGTTGATATAGTACAAAGCTTGGCCGACACCCAAAGTTTTGATGTAGCGCTGTTATAAGCAGTAACGCTCCGCGGCGGGTGGTACCACGGAATGATATCTCTCGTCCCTTTGGACGGTAGGAACCCCCCACTCCACCTAGCTCCCACGATCAGGTATCATAGATCCTTGAGAAACCATACCACATCTTCTGGAGTCGGCAAATGGAAGTAATACCAACGAATATTTAGCAATGTGTAGGGAAATCCAGCTGGAGTACCATCATTACTGTAGAAGAACACTTACCCCATGCCCAGACACCCATGTCACGGATGATTGCTCATGGTAGGATAGACACCAAATGGCGGGTCTCCGTAGTGTACGGTACGACACAGTACGGTAAACTTTGATAGTGGTAAATGAGGATCGCTCAGTTTCACAACAGATCTGTGAGGTAAGCTAGGTGGTGCGTAGCGATGGCGATGTCGAATCGGACTTAAAAGTGTATAGTGAGGCGGATTGATTAAGGAAAAGCATAACATTTGTGAGTGGAGATCTACCTCTATATATACAAGGTTGTGGATATGCCAAGTTACACCCCATACTAATACTATGGGACCATCCCCAACCAATAGCCCTAACACTACTACATACTGACAATCATCTTCTCTCACTCTCCGAATACAACAAACTGACCACTGATGGGATTATTACACCATCAAACTTATTATGCTCCATTAGCCGGAGCGGCGTGAGGAGAACTTCTGGTCTTGGTGAAGGAGTTGGATGAGTGTAGGGTTTACATAGAGCATTCAATGAAGGACACGGAGAGGTAAGATAAAACCTAACCTGGGCGTTTTGAATATAATCTTCCTCACACGCTGCCTAACTTAATCAATAAACTATACAAGACCTCTATCTCAAAACTGGTAACCGCCAAGAAGTAACAAAGGAACCCGACGTTATAACAGCCAAAATTTGGAATGGAAAAGAAAAGTTAAAATGAAATCAACATGGCTTCACCCCTGAGTAAACTTGAACCCTTCATCTCTGTCATGATACGTCGTCCAAGGAACTCGTCACCCGAGCATAGAGAAACATCGAGAGCTGGTTAAAATTCTTTAGGGTCGCTGGATGGTTTGGCCCTAGAGATTTCTCTGCCTCCGTAACCGCACGTCGATACATGATCTCCGATTCATCGTACTTTCTCTTCTCGTGCAGCACCGCACCTAGCTTAATGAGACTGCGGAGGGTGTGTCGATGACCTGGCCCCAGAGTCTTCTCTCGCCCTGCCAGCGCTCGCCGATGCATCATCTCCGCCTCGTCGTACTTCCTCTGTCTTTGCAGCAACCCAGCTAGGTTATAGACGCACATTAGGGTATCTCGGTGGTCGGGTCCAAGCGTCCTCCCCGTGCCGATTACTGCACGCCGATACGTAATCTCCGCTTCGTGGTGCTTATTCTGATTACGTAGTGCCACACCAAGGTTGTTGGCGGTTAGTAGGGTATCTCGATGGTCTGGCCCAAATGTCTTCTCTCTGCCTGCCAGCGCGCGTCGACACATGACCTCCGCTTCGTTATACATTTTTAGATCAAGTAGCGTTTCTCCGAGGATATTCACACTGTCGAGGACGTCCTGATGATCAGGCCCTAGAGCCTTCTCCATAGTCCCTAGGGCATGTCGATATATGATCTCAGCTTCTTCATACTTCCTCTCATCGAGAAGCTTCACAGCTAGCCCAACAACACTTAATAGGACGTCTGGGTGATGTGGTCCAGGTGCGTTCTCTCCACCTCCTGCTCCATGCCGATGCATACTTTCCACTTCGTTGTTATTCCGATCATATAGCACCACACCTAGATCATTGGCACTTTGTAAGGTATCTTGATGATATGGCCCGAGCGCTTTCTCTCTGCCCGCCAATGCACGTCGATACATAATCTCCGCTTCGCCGTACTTTCCTTGACTGCGCAGAGTCCTACCGAGATCATTGACACTTTTCAAGGTATATTGGTGATCTCGCCCGAGCGCTTTCTCTCTGCCCGCCAATGCACGTCGGTGCATAGCCTCAGCTTCATTGTACTTTCCTTGACAATGCAGAGCTGTTCCGAGACTATTGACACTCATTAAGGTATCCTGATGATCTAGGCTGAGAGCTTTCTCTCTTCCCGCCAACGCACGTCGATGCATAATCTCGGCTTCATCGTACTTTCCTTGGCTTCGCAGAGTTGTGCCGAGATTATCAACACTCGTTAAGGTGTCTCGATGATCTAGGCCGAGCGTTTTCTCCCCGCCCGCCAGCGCACGCCGGAGCATAATCTCCGCTTCGTCGTACTTGTCCTGACGATACAGCGCCATGCCCAGCTTACTGGCACTCTGTAAGGTGTCTCGATGGTCTGGCCCGAGGCCTTTCTCAATGCCCGCCAATGCGCGGCGATGCATAATCTCGGCTTCGCCGTACTTTTTCTGATGATGTAGCGCCATGCCCAACTTATCAATACTCTTTAAGGTATCTCGATGGTCTAGCCCTAGCGTTTCCTCTCTGCCCGCCAATGCACGCCGATGCATAATCTCGGCCTCGTCATACTTTCCCTCACGATGCAGCACCACACCCAGATCACTCACACTCTGTAAGGTGTCTCCATGGTCTGGCCCGAGCGTTTTCTCTCTGCCCGCCAATGCACGTTGATGAATTATCTTGGCCTCGTCGTACTTTTTCTGACGACTCAGCGCCACCCCTAGATCGCTAGTACTTTGTAGGGTATCTCGATGATCCCTCCCGAGCGTCTTCTCTCTGCTCGCTAGTGCGCCTCGGTGAATAGCTTCGGCTTTCTCGTACTTTTCCTGCCTGCTCAGCACGACGCGTCGCTTTTTGTGGCCCTTTGAGGTACCCTCATGGTTTCGATCAGGCATCGTCTATGCGCCTACCAGCGCAGGCTGGCCCGTGATTTATAATTTACTCGAGTATCGTACAGTACGCCCCCGGGCTATTATTTGGATGTGCGGATTTCTGGGCCCAAGTTTCTACTTAATCGCGGCGGGTGAACCGGGTTCCTGGTTTGAGCTGGATTTGTTGTGGTCGCGAAATAAATCCTCTCGCCTATTAGCTGGGTCACCGTTGGTTTCGCTAAACTCCTTGAGTATCGTAGGCGTTGGGCACGATTGGGAAATAGCCTGACTAGAGGTACTCGTACTGTGAGGCGTTAGTTTTGGGGATTGCTTAGACCGCTACCTCGGACCCAAGACGGCTTCGGCGGGAGGACCACCGTACCTACCTTATAATACAAGTACCGAGCATAACTGAAACTCAAGTAGAGGTGGCAGACCCGAGAAGCATGGCCCTAAGAGGATCTCTACATCCTCTGGTCTCAGTGAACTTCGAAGTGATATAATTGAGTATCGGGTTCCTGGCCTCCAATTCAATACGAGGCTGGCCTCAAAAATGATGAGCAGTGTAATGAAAGGTTTACCGCTGAAAACAGCCGTATTCACGACCTTCCAACCAATGATCCAGTCAGGTTATCCAAACCAAATCTTGATCTGTATATGAAACAATTCCCTGGATTTTGCTTTCCAACCCTTTAGAACTCTGTATATAAACTAACTGGGGAATTATTGAGAGAGCTATGATTGGCGCATTGGCCCTGGCTCAAATCTGATATTTTTGTATGGAAAGCGGCAAGGTTTGGCGCTGTTTTCAACTTCAATTCTATAACATTGCATGCAAAAGTAAAGTAGATGAGCACTTGTGGAGATATTTGAAAGAATTTTGGATTATTGTATCAATTTTTCAGATTTTTTACGGCTTTAGAATGCATCGAATGGAAAGCGTTAAGTAGCATGGTTTGGGTCGTTGCATGCCATTCCGATCGCTATTTTTGACGCCAACCTCGTACAGTACATCTGTCAAGAAAAATTACCTTTATTCTTGGCCCCTGCATCTACGGTACTGTGCTGGGCTCTTGAAATCAACCATGAGTAGTCAGCTGAGCAAGAAAAAAAACACTACCGCATCCCCCCCTCCAAACCACACCACGGCCCCAAATAGTGACTTTGGGAAAATTTAAGAATGGGGTAAGATCGGGATGATTCTGTGAAAAAGAAACACCACTTAAGCCTTCCACCACCGAGAAAAATATATGTAAGAAAAGAGAGACTTTATTAAATTTTGTGAGTCCTAGAAAATTACCTATCAATTAGCCACTATGTTGAAGAAACTTCTCACCAACGCAGCAGTGGGACTAGGACCACCGTGAATAAAGCACTCAATACAGGAGAAGTAGGGTGGAATAGGTGAGCTATCAATCGTGCTAGTTAAGGACTCTCTTGGAGCTATAAACCTTCCAAAAACTGGCAACTCCAGAAACTCAAGAAAACTCAACGAGCGCTGAAGAGACACACCAACCTGACAAATCCCCCGCGATCTCAAACAATCTAGAACCATCCTGATATCTTATGATCCTCCATGATCCCCAAAACCTGTGCCCTATGCCAAGTACCGTATGCCGAATGGCATGATACAGTGTGAAAGAAACATCGCAAATAGAATGCCTGATACCTTATGCACGACGTCAAAGGGGTTTCGACCTGCCACGCATTACATAGCCGCCGAATCGCATGCCCTATAGGCAATCCAGCATATATGCGCCCTCCTGACGATAGGTGGTGGTCCATGGTGCATTCGGATTGGAACAAGCTTAGATAGGGAGAGATTTATCAGCATCGAGAGAAAATAAGAGCATCTACCTTACCCAAATCATTTCTATTTAATTTACTTTTAGACACAGTGGAAGTCTCGCTAAAGGGAAGTCAAAATTTGCATGGAAGAGCAGAAGAGGCTAGAGTGTGGTTAGCTCCTAGAGAATTGCTGTTTAAGTGAAGGGGATAGCAGAGAGGGCAGTGACAGCAAAACCAAGATTGGGAAAGAGGGCTACCCAGCCCTGCTCCTTCCTAGATTCCATTGCGGGTTGAATTTGACATAATATTACAGAGAGGGGGAGGAGAGCAGTTCACTCTTGATAACTGCAAATACTTAATTTTTGTCCATACTTCCAGTACTCTTCACTAAGTTAGCTAGTATACCAGGGTATATGTTTATCTCAGGGTCCTGCCATCCAGCCTTTACTGTCATCTCCACAACCGACCAAGAGCCCTAAGAGGAGTACTCGTTACCTGCGAATTGGAATAAGCACTGAGTGGGTTTTCTTTTTTGGCATTGTACTAAGGAAAAATACCACAGAGTGCCCAGACCCCGCAAGAATTTATGATTTACTATACTAGGGGCTAGAAAATAATGGTGCAATACCGTCACAACGCATATCTATATAAGAGGTTAACAATAAAATAACACTTTATTATACAGGAAATCGGGGGGTGGAGGGTTATGTTTTTGTACTATCTTTTTGTCTCTCAGTATCCTGCAGCGCGGAATCTCCTCCCATCCCGCCACGATACAAAGCTTGACCAACCGCAGAAGTGCTAACCTCATTCATCCCCTTAGGCTCGATTGTTGTTGCTGGAACGGCACAACTTTCCCTCATTGTTTTTTAACTGCGTCATGAAGAATCACTCGTTAAAAAATTCTCTCGAGCTACTAGTATAGAGCTAGCCTTAACAAGGTGTGGGCATTACAAGTTGTTTCACAACTCCTGGGCAGTGGCACTGGCAGCATCAGCACACATGGGTACCCTCTACAGGATTGAGCGGATAAATACACAGAACGAGTGCGGTGCACACTTCCGCCGAGCAATGGGTTGAGAGCTCGGAAAGCGCAATTAGATTTTTTCTTGTATTTTTCTTCTAATTTTCGGCAGGAAATATAAGATCGGGATCCGGGTTAATAGAAGGGGCAGATTGCGTTGATAATCACGGGGCAGGGTGTCTTATCTCTCGCTTGCGGGAGACAACGTATATTTCTCTCCCACGGGATATCCTGTGTTGGTTCTACGATGCATGCGTCCTTCTTCACGGGAATCTATATTGTGGTCTGTGGAAGCGCTTGGGCGCTATTAGTCTTAGCCGTGGACCATGCATTGTCCTCGAGCAGAGCGCTGGGCGGAGTCCAGTGCTTTAATTGCGATACCCGCGCTTGCTCTTGATCCCCGAGCACACTTTTCTAGAAGGTCTATTGTTAAACAGTGACAACCTTTTAAATGGCGGAACGACGGGAACAGCCAAACGGCGAAAGGACGAAACGAAACGACGATTATTAACACAACGGAGAAGATTCTGATCGCCAGCGCACTGCTTTGGAGGAAGTGGGGGAGTTCTCACTCAACTCTCTCTCCTCGCCTTCACTCAACAACTAAACAGTAAAGGCGGGAGGAGTATATATAAATCGCGACAAAGGAATCCACCTACCCCTCCGTCGATCTCCACACATATCCATCCTCGCTCAAGCAAGTCCCCCTTCCCTCTGAGTACACCCATGGAACATCATGCCTTGGTGGGGGTGGGAGCCTTAAGCCCGCCTACTGGTGGATACCTGTTAGGTTAGCTAGTATAATATGCATAAATCAACCGTGCTAAAAGAAAAACAGGCTTCACAAGATCCCCACCGTTCATTGCCGCAGCACAGTCACCGCTCCGTCCCTTTCACGCTTCTATACTGCTTCCGCCGGGAACATGATTTATCCAAAGTGCATCTCCGAAACCTCTATCCGAACAAGCGAAACTATAAACCGAGCATGCCGAACAGGTCCCCAGCATTCCGAGCAGCATCCACCATTTCCAACATCCATTCCCTCTCGTTACGAGATGCAGCCCATACCTGGGTCTACTTGAGGAATGTTTGATGTTGTAGAAGGTTTGTTTATGTATTTGGTACTGATTCTCAATTTACCCATGTGCCCGACTAACTCTATGCTACAAGGATAGACGCTGTGAAAAGAAGCCGCGGGAAATATTGGCCCCAGCCTAGAGCTAGTCTTTTGGACTGTTTGCAGGCCGGCCATAATCAACAAGGGTCTTGATTTAATGGAAGACTAAATTACTGGATCCCTAATTATGAAGCTAGCATACCCCTAATCAGAAAGAAAATAAACCCCCCAACACCTCCACCACCAAGAAGTAAGAAAGGAACTCGAGGTTATAAAAACTAGCTCGAAATAAAAAGTAAAAAAGTTAAGACGTATGAAAAAAAGGGCCAACATAATTTCATCGTTGAGTAAATATAAACACTTTATCTCTGTAACGATGACTCATCCAAGGCACTCGTGGCCCGGGCATAGAGAAATACCGTGAGGTGGTTAACGCTCTTTAGAGTCATTGGATGGCCTGGCCCTAGAAATTTCTTTGCCCCCATAACTGCACGCTGATACATAATCTTCGCTTCATCGTATTTCCCCTCCTGGTACAGCAATGCGCCTAGCTTGGTGAGGTTACGAATGGTGTGTCGATGGCCTAGCCCCAGAGTCTTCTCTCGCCCTGCCAGCGCTTGCCGATGCATCATCTCCGCCTCATCATACTTCCTCTGTTTGTGGAGAGCCCCGGCTAAGTTATAGATGCACATTAGGGTATCACAGTGGTCAGGTCCAAGCGTCTTCTCCGCACCCTCCAATGCGCGTCGATACATATTCTCCGCTTCGTGGTGCTTATCCTGATTGCGCAGTGCCACACCAAGATTATTGGCACTCAGTAGGGTATCTCGATGATCTAGTCCAAGAATCTTCTCTCTGCCTTCCAGCGCACGTCGACACATAGCCTCCGCTTCGCCATACTTTTCCAGATCAAGCAGGGTCTCTCCTAAAGTATTCACACTATCGAGGACGTCTGGATGATCCGGCCCCAGAATTTTCTCCATAGCCCCTAGGGCCTGTCGATACACGATCTCAGCTTCTCCATACTTTCTCTGGCAAAGGAGGGTCACGCCTAGGCTAGCAATGCTCAGTAGGGTATCAGGATGATATAGTCCAAGAACTTCCTTTCTGCTCGCCTGCGTAGATCGAAATATCATCTCCGCTTCTTCGTGCTTTCTCTGATGATATAATGTCCGGCCAAGGTTATCAGCGCTTGTAAGGGTAGCTGCATGATCCACTCCTAGAGCTTTCTCTCTGCCCGCCAGTGCATGTCGACACATAGCTTCTGCTTCGTCATACCTTTCTAGATTAAGCAGTGTTTCGCCGAGCGTGTTCAAACTGTCGAGAATATCCGGACGATCTAGCCCCCTCCACTTCTCCATAACCCCTAGGGCATGTTGATACATGATCTCAGCTTCTTCATACTTCCTCTCATCAAGAAGCTTCACAGCCCGCCTAAGAGCAACTAGGAGGACGTCTGGGTGATGTGGTCCGGGTGCGTTCTCCCCACCTCCTACTAGATGCACACTTCTTGCTTTGATCTTGTTCCTATCATTTACGACTGCAGCTAGATTATTGACACTTTGTAGGGTATCTCGATGATCTAACCCAAGCGCTTTCTGTCTACCCGCCCATGTACGTCGATGCATAATCTCCGCTTCGTCGTACTTTTCCTGATGATGCAGTGCCACACCCAGATCCCTAACACTCTGTAAGGTATCTCGATGATCTAGCCCGAGCGTTTTCTCTCTGCCCGCCAACGCACGTCGATGCATATCCTCGGCTTCGCCGTACCTTCCTTGACTACGCAGAGTCGCACCGAGATTATTGATACTCTCTAAGGTATCTCGATGATCCGGTCCGAGAGTTTTCTCTCTACCGGCCAGTGCACGTTGATGCATAATCTCCGCTTCGCCACACTTTCCTTGATGATGCAGCGCCACACCTAGATCCCGAGCACTCTGTAAGGTATCTTGATGGTCTGGCCCCAGCGTTTTCTCTCTACCCGTCAATGCACGCCGGTTCATAATCTCTGCTTCGCCGTAGTTCCTTTGACAACGCAGTGCCGCACCGAGATAATTGACACTATCTAAGGTATCTCGGTGATCTGGTCCGCGTATTTTCTCCATGCCCGCCAATGCGCGTCGATATATAGTCTCGGCTTCGTCGTGCTTTTCTTGGCAATACAGCGCCGCACCAAGATTGTTGACACTATTTAAGGTATCTTGATGATCTGGCCCGTGCGTTTTCTCCATGGCCGCTAATACACGCCGATGCATAATCTCCGCTTCGTCATACTTTCCCTGACTATGCAGCGCTGCGCCGAGAGAATTGGCGCCATATAAGGTATCCCGGTGATTTGGCTCGAGGGTTTTCTCCATGCCCACCAATGCACGTCGATACATGCTCACGGCTTCGCCGTGTTTTGATTGACAACGCAGCGCTGCACCGAGATTGTTGACACTATCTAAGGTATATTGATGATATGGCCCGAGAATTCTCTCCATGCCCGCTAACACACGTCGATGCATACTCTCCGCTTCGTTGTACCTTCCCTGGTGATGTAGTGCCACACCTTGGTTATTGATGCTCCTTAAGCTGTCCAGATCATCTGGGTCAAGCATCTTCCCCACGCCCGCCCGCATAAGGCGACGCATAACTTCTAATCTGCAGTACGTCCTCGGAGCTGTTATTTGGATGTGCAGGTTTTGGGGCCCAAGTCTCCCTCGATTGAGATGGGTGAGTCGAAATCTTAGCTTGAACTGAACTTGCCGTCGCTGTTGACCTGGAGCGAATCTCCTTGTCTATCCAGTGGGCCAGTGTTGGCTTGTTTCTTTAAAATACCTGGGTATGCCTTAAACACGGTCGTGAATTATTGCTGGGGTTCAGACGTTTGGAGCTGTGGGGCGTTAGTTATAAAGATTGTTGCTGAGAACACTAGTTAGAACCTGAGATTAGTTTCAGTGCAAGGGCCACACCTACTCCTTTCATACACCTATTCTTTAACTCGCACCGTTTTGTTTCCTTCTCGGCTTATCTCCAATGTTCTCCAGCTCTTCACTCGAACCGGGGGTCTAATTGGTCTGCTACATACCAACACCCAGCGTCAGATATGAGTGTGATCTACATTATAGCGGGGATCAGACCTGCTGTATTATGTAGAAGATAATCCGAGTATTTCGCATTCGATAGTAGAAGGGGAAAGGGTTCTGGAAAGGAGCTCAATGAGTATGGGGGTCCCGGATTACGATCAAGATAGCCTTGCTTGACACGTTATGGTGAGGCTGAGAGGTGAAGTGCGCACATCGAAACCAATCACGTGGTTCGCGCCTATTCTTCTGATACTGGTTGGCTACCCGGGTACTCGAGTACTTGTAGCATCCGTTAGACTACCGCCTCCGCAAGCTCTAACGGGACGACTAAATGCATAGACTACGAGTAGAACGATCCGAGCAACCTTCCTAAAAGTAGGACCACATCTTGGACAGAGGGTGATATTTTTATCATCCTAATGAACATTGACTCTTATCACCACTTGTATCCCACAATTAGGTAGTGGGTTATCAAATTTGCAATCGGTCGGGGACCGATTCCAAATGCCGGCGCAGTGTTCAGACTCAAAATGAAATACATCAATAAATGACAATCTACGGATAACATTAGGCTTCCAAAAAAGAATAAAAAGGCTCAAGACTGCAAGGTCACTCAGTCATATCAAGCATGCTGGATAGGCGAATGATTTCACCCACAATCCCTTCTTACTTGCCATCAGGTCCCTTGCTTCCAAACACAGGCATCTAATTTTCCTTAGTTATATAAGTAGGTGGTAATTCTCGAGTGGAAATTACGCTTTGATAAGTCAATCGTTGTTCTGAATCGACAACCTGTGCTTAGCGCGAAAGGTCCTTCCGCATAGGTTCCGTTTAAATGGCCTTTTTGCATACGGACCTTCAATGTTTGCCAATACCGTGCAAATACTCCAGTACAAAACCCAGGCAATCTCAGAGGTGCTAGCCCGAAACTAGTACAGGTATTAATGCACCGCCGCTACCGATATATATAGCGGATAGAATCTACCATCCCCTTGGGCTCAGGAACCAGCCTAGCCTCCGGTAGTTGGGTACTAGGCATGCCAACCGACAAATACCATACCACATTTTCCGAGCCGGGGCGGCGGAAGCAATGCAGCAGCACTCTATCAGAGTACAGGGAAATATGGCCCAACCACCATTGCTGGAGCTATATAATTTCCTGCATTAGCGTCACAAGTCATCACTCGCTGCAGAAACTACCAGAGCTGTCATGCATGGATAGAACGGTTCTTAACTGCGCATGGGCACAGGTTATTACAACACCTAGGTAGCTACGCTGATATTCTGGTGTTAGCATATATGGATAGCCCCCACGGGGCTGAGAAGATACGCGGAGTACAGGAACCCAATCTTCCCTCCGCCAGTTTACCCAGGTCTCAGGAATTGTACAAGCCACAAATTTTTAGGGCAGTGGAGAGGGATACAGCCGCTGAGCTCCCTGAGTAAGCTCCCATAGTTACACCTATAACGTTTTGTTTAGCGCAGGGGATTACGGGGGTGGGAGGTTTGGAGGAAGGAAGCTATCGTACCTTGTCATATATCGTCCCAAGTAAGGAATAAATACCCAGAATGAGTACGCGCTTTTGCATGCGCAATTGGTCTAAGAGCTTGGATAGTGCAATTAAATTTCTTTTGTTTTTTGTTTTTTTTTGGCGGGGTAGGATGGCAGGTTAATAGAAGTGGATGGATTGCGTTGATAATCCCGGGGCATGGTACCCTGTAGCTTACTTGCGGAACGCAACATATAGATCTCCTCAGTAAGGTGTCTTGTGTCATGTGTTGGTTATATGATGCTGTAGTCACTTAACCACTGGACCGTCGGCTGTCAGCATATCGGGCCTGTCTCAAAAAAACATCATTTTGTCCCAACGCTTGGACCTGCCAGCAATCAATTTCGGATGTTCAGTAGGATTAAGGGTGAGAGAAGTGCGTAATTATGATAATGGTATAGGATTATGAGACATGTATTTTCTCTTGTAGATTACTGGCTAAGTGCTACAGGTGTACTGTATCATAAGAGAAAACTCTCTTATCTACTATACGACCCTGTAAATACATTCTTGCCCTAGAGCTTATCGATTATCTGGAGACTTTGATACTTCTTGATTTCCCATTTAGTCTAGCGTGGGAAACAATAAGAAAATTACCACTACTATCTACTGTGTCCCAATTACTTTTCAGTTAGCTTAGGCTGTCCCAAGAAAAGGGACTAGTTTTTTTCCTGTCGGTAATTTGGAGTGTCCCAAGTGGCCGCATGACGACAGTATGTGTGTCCTCCTCTGTAGGAATTTATGTTGCGGTCTATGGAAGTGATTGGGTGCTATTGGTTCTAGTTGCGGAACATAGGGACCTGGGCGGAGTTCAATGCTTTAATTGTTATATCTGCGTTTGATCTTAACTCTCCCAGCACACCTTTCTTGAAGGTCTATCCTTTTTTCGTCCTAAGGCGTAGTATACCGGTATATCTTAGCCCATTTAAAGAGCATCGGATATCGCAGAAGGCCCTCTTATATTATTGGCACTGACTCATGACTGAGTGGAAGGCTCACCCAACCCATGCGCCCCACAATCTCTATCTTACCAGGATAGATGCTAGGAAAAGAAACCTCAGGAGCTATACACCCCAGTCTAGAGATAGTCCGTTCGACTATCGGTGGGCCGGTCGTAATGAACAAGGGCCCCAACCCAATGGAAGGATGAATCACTATCACACTTGGATAAATCCCTTACTATGAAGCTAATTTACTCCCAATAAAAAAATTAAACTATTGAACACCTCCACTTTAAAGCTAGCCATCAAAAGGTAAGAGAGGAACCCGATGATAACAGCTGGATATCTCAGAAAGATAAAAAAAAGAGAGATATATAGAAGATTGGTTAACGTAGTTTCGTCCTTAGGTAAACATAAACCCCTTTATCTCAGTAATAGTGCTTCGTCCAAGACGCTCATCGCCCGGGCAAAGAGAAACATCGAGAGGTGGTTTAAGCTCTTTAGAATAACTAGATGGCGTGGACATAGAGCACTCTCTGCCTCCCTAACTGCAAACCGATACACAATCTCCGCTTCATCGTATTTCCTCTTCTGGCTCAGTGCTGAACCTGGCTTAATGAGGCTATGAAAGATTATAGATACATATTAGGGTATCTCTGCGGTCAAGCCCAAGAGTTTTATGCGCACCTATCAATGCACGTCGATACATATTCTCCGCTTCGTGGTGCTTATTCTGTTCACGCAGTGCATCACCAAAATTATTGGTACTTAGTAGGATATCTTGGCGATCTAGTCCAAGCGTCTCCTCTCTGCCTGACAGCGCACGCCGGCGCATCATACTATTGAGGATACCAAGATGATCGGCGCCCAAGGCTTGCTCCATAGCCCTATGGTGCGTTGGTAGATGGCCTCAGCTTCC